GCGGCCAGGGCAGGTAATGCTGGGCGGGGGCGCCGAGGCTGGGCCCTGGCCGATGCAGACCCAGGTAAAACGTGGGGAGAGCAACGTGTTGTAGCACCTACAGGGTCAGGCTGTGAGGGCGTCTTCTCCGGGACTCTCCTCCAACCCCTGTTTTCACCGCCCTCTGCCTCTGCCCTCCTGGAGGCCTCATTGTGTCTCTCAGCGATTGTAGTTGCTACAAGCCACCCCTCTGCCCTTACCCCAGGGATGATTCTGGAGTCAAATGGATCCAAGTGCTGATCTAATTTTTGCCTTCTTAAAAACCTACCCTAGTTCCTTGTAAGTACTAATTAAAAGCTTTACTTTTATCAAGCCGGGCGCTTAGTGAACCCCTGTAATCCTAGCACTCTATGAGGCCGAGGCAGGAGGATGTCAACTTTGAACCCAGCCCGGGCAACATCGTGATTTAGCATGACTTTGTCTCTAAATTTAAAAAAAAAATTTAAAAAGGGTTGGGGAACGAAGTTTAGTGTGAAGGCCCTGGGTTTAATCCTCAGTACAGAAAACAAAACAAAAGCCTGACTTAGCCTACTCTTCAGCCCAAAACTAGCTCAGACTAGTTGCAACACTCTTTTCCAGCTTTAGCTTTCATTCTTCTCAGCTCTCAGTGACTTTCTCTTTTGCTGTGCTGCAAATGCTTTTCTATCTCATCTCCTATCTCTCTCTGTGTCTTTTTTTTTTTTTGGTTCTGGAAATTGAACTCAGGACCTTGCACTTGCCAGGCAGGCGCAGTGTCATTGAACTACATCCCCAGCCCAATTATTGATACTATCATATTTCTTCTACCACCCCTAGACATGGAGGGGTAGAAGTGCATACAGATAAATACAAGGTGACTGAAATAAATACAGAACACCTAGAATAACAGCACAAATACTGGGTTTTCCAGGTACAGGTGATAAGATGAAGTGGTTAACACAGGCTTGGGTATCAGATAGACAGACATGTTTGAAATCTGAGTTTGCTATTTTGTAACAATTAGAATTTTGAGCATGTGACACAAACTGTGCATCTCCATGACTGTAAAATGAGGACACTAACGGTACTTTGCCCTAGAAGTATTTGTGAGCACCCAGTATTATTAGTGATTGGCATATATTAAGGACATAGTAAAGCTGAAGTTGTCATTATTGAGATGTATTCACAGTAAGTGTGAAGTTCAGGGGAGAAGGAGAGATCCTTGAGGTCACATGTTTTGCAGGGAAGTCTCCCTTATTATCAAAGACAGGCTGAAGAGGGGGAGCTGGGGTTGTAGCCCAGTGGTAGAGTACCTGCCTAGGGTGTGCTAGGCCCTGGATTTGATCCCTAGCAGCCAAGTATACACCAAAAGATGCCAGGTGTGATGATGCACACCTGTACTCCCAGCACTCAGGAGGCTGAGGCAGGAGGATTGCTGAAAAGTTTGAGGCCATACATAGTTCAAGGGCATCCTGGACTGCATCTTGAGACCTGTCTTAACTAAAAAAACAAATATACAACTAAAGAAACTGATAAAGGCTGAGCCAAGGGTAGAGGTCTACAATCCCGTTTTCTTTCCCTAGGTCTAGGAAGTGAGAATGTGGAGATTTCTCAGCCCAGTGAGTTTGAACGCACCCCACAGGATGAGGAGGACTTGGGATTCAAGGAGGAGGAAGATCTGGGCCGGGTTCACGAAGCAGGAAGTGATTCTCTCAAACCTGAAGGCATCCAGACCTGGGATGACTTATGGGTCCAGAGAGGGGGGCTGGGAAAGCCTCAGCCTCGGGAACGAGGGCCCCGGGTCCTGGGAGAACCTCGCTGGGGCCAGGCCAGCACTGACCGGACTGCAGTGTGCGGGGAGTGTGGCAAGAGCTTCCGACAGATGTCAGACCTGGCGAAGCACCAGCGGACGCACACCGGGGAGAAGCCCTACAAGTGCGGGGTTTGTGGCAAGGGCTTTGGGGATAGCTCAGCCCGCATTAAACACCAGCGAACTCACAGTGGCGAGAAGCCCTACAGAGCCCGGCCACCAGCCCAGGGCCCCCCAAAGATTCCTCGACCCCGGATCCCTGCTGGTGAACGTCCCACTATCTGTGGTGAGTGTGGCAAGAGCTTTCGGCAGAGTTCTGACCTGGTGAAGCACCAGCGGACACACACCGGGGAGAAGCCCTACAAGTGTGGCGTCTGTGGCAAGGGCTTCGGCGACAGTTCTGCCCGCATAAAGCACCAGCGGACACACCGAGGGGAGCAACCTCCCCGGTCAGTGGTGCCCCGAAGGCAATCCTCTCGGGCAGCTACAGCAACTGCACAGGGAGCCAAGGCCCAGGACAAGCCATACATCTGCACTGATTGTGGAAAAAGGTTTGTTCTCAGCTGTAGCCTCCTGAGCCACCAGCGCAGTCACCTCGGGCCCAAACCCTTTGGTTGCGATGTGTGTGGAAAGGAGTTTGCCCGGGGCTCTGACCTGGTGAAGCACCTGCGGGTGCACACGGGGGAAAAACCCTACCTGTGTCCTGAGTGTGGCAAGGGCTTTGCCGACAGCTCTGCCCGCGTCAAGCACCTGCGCACGCACAGCGGGGAGCGGCCGCACGCCTGCCCCGAGTGCGACCGCACCTTCAGCCTGAGCTCCACCCTTCTCCGCCACCGGCTCACTCACATGGAGCCCCAGGCCTTCAGCTTCCCCAGCCACCCCGTCACCCTCCTGATCCCCAGCCCCCCTCCCCCTCCTCTGGCCACCAGCCCTCCGCTGACCCCTCGGAGTCCCTCACACTCAGGGGACGGGCCTTTTGGCCAGCCCGGCTTGGAGCCCGAGCCTGGGGGCCCGCAGGCTGGCGAGCCGCCCCCCCCACTGACAGCCGGTGACAAGCCCCACAAGTGTCCCGAGTGTGGCAAGGGCTTCCGCCGAAGCTCTGACCTGGTGAAGCACCATCGCGTGCACACGGGGGAGAAGCCCTACCTCTGTCCTGAGTGCGGCAAGGGCTTTGCCGACAGCTCCGCCCGCGTCAAGCACCTGCGCACACACCGTGGTGAACGTGCTCGTCCGCCACCGTCTACTCTCCTGCGGCCACACAACCCCCCTGGTCCGGCACCCAGCGCCCCCCGGCCCCTGGTGCGCGCCCAGCCCTCGGGACCTAGCCAGCCCCACGTGTGTGGCTTCTGTGGGAAGGAGTTCCCCCGCAGCTCAGACCTGGTCAAGCACAGGCGCACGCACACCGGGGAGAAACCATACAAGTGTGCCGAGTGTGGCAAGGGCTTTGGCGACAGCTCCGCCCGTATCAAGCACCAGCGTGGGCACCTGGTCCTGAGGCCCTTTGGGATAGGGGATGGTCAGGTGAGGCCCCTCAAGGAGGAGCCACCAGCAGGACTGCAATGATGGCCCAGGAGGCCAAAGGGAGATCTGCTAAAGCAGAAAGGAAAGGGCTTGGGAGTGGTTGGGGGGAGGAGGAGGGGAAGAAACACGGGAGAGGAGTGACTAGATAGAAATAGAGACCAGGGACCTAACCCGACACTCAGGAAACCACCCTGGCTAGGTGTCAGGACCTTGCGGGTGTATGCTGAACCCCCCAGCTTCACAACACTGCCAGGCACACAGTAAATAATAAATACTTGTTGAAAATAGAAACTGGTCTTAGCCTGAGGACCCTTAAAATGCTCTATTCCTGCTACCTCTTTTCTATTAAGAACTGACCCACTGGGTGTGCTGGCGGACACCTGTAATCCCAACACTTGGGAGGCAGAGGCAGGAGGATCACCAGGAGTTGGAGGCCAGCCTGAACTACATAATGAGACTATCTGAAAACAACAAAAAACCAAACCCTTGGTGAGGTGGGATGGCTCACACCTGTAATCCCAGCTACTCAAGAGGGTGAAGCAGGAATATGTTTAAGGCCAGCCTGGGCAATTTAAAGGGAAAGCCTGTCTCAGAAAGGGTTGGGGTGTAGCTCAGTGTTCTCTGGGTTCGATCCTCAGTACCAAGAAGAAAAGACTCCTACTGTGCCCTAGAGACCAGGTTTTGGCCTGGTAGTTGCAGCGAATGAACTTGTGGAATCTGAGGTGTCAAAATGAGGGCATACGTCTTGTGTTAGGGAAAGTGGAATGGACAGTCCCACTCCCAACCTCCATCCACAGGATGTGATCGGCCAGGAAGAGCCAGCACTCTTGCACGGGGGCAAGGCCTTGCGTCCTTGGTCAGAGGCAGTGGAGGAACACTTGGGGCAGCTAGTCTGGAGGACATCGCGGAGACCTCCTGTCTGGGTGAGTGCAGGACTAGGAGAGGCCACACTTCATGTGTCTCCTTACCAATAAAAGATTTCTTGTCTGAGGTTTGAATTCTGTGTAGGGGTGAGTATGAGTGGGTATGCACCTACACGCAGGGCAAGGATTGTAAAAGGTGTAGCGGGGTTACCCTCACCTTGGGCAAAGCCCTCAAGCCATCTGTAAACTTGCCTGGACCCTTTCTTTGGCCCACTATAGGAAGTGGGCACAGTCAGCCACTTGATAGCTCCAACATCTGGTTTTGTTTGGTTTTGGTTTTTTGAGACAGGGTCTCACTAGTTGAGACTAGCCCAGGCTGGTCTCAAACTCACAGCTATCCTCCTGCCTCAGCCTCCCAAGTGCAGGGATTACAGGCATGCGCCACCACACCCAACTAATAACTGGCTTTTTAGATGTCTACCAGGTCCTTCAGTCGATGTCTAAGGTCGGGCTTCGTACAGGCACCATCTATACAACAGCTCACACTTCGGTGCCATACTTCAAAGGGGAAATGGGCCGCACTGTGGCAGGAGGACAGGCATTAGGGAAGGACGACCCATCCGCAGGGTAGGCACACCCCAAGGGACACGGACAACCTCCCTCTCAAGGCCCTTGATTCCTCAGAGGACCAAGCTGTCCCGCCCTGCTGCCCAGTTTGTTCCGCAGACAGTGCTGATTGGAAGGGAGAGGACCTAGCCCACCTCATCAGGCACAAAAAGCCGGGGGTGCGTCCACCCATGGCTGTGCCCTTTCCAGTCCCCGGGTCTCAGTGGTTGCGCGGGAATAATCCTGGCTGGAGGTGCACGTGAGAGCGCGAACATCCCACTGGCTTCCCTGGACCCCGGAGGCGCTTATTGCCGAGCGGGCGCTGCCCCAAAATCCTCCTGCCCCTGCCAAGCTGAGCACTAGGGGAGATGGCTTCCCTACCCCGGAGGCGCTTATGGCCGAGCGGGCGCTGCCCCAAAATCCTCCTGCCCCTGCCAAGCTGAGCACTAGGGGAGGCGCGGAGCCTCACCTTGGGGCCTGGCTCCCATCGGCTTCTGTCCGGAAGTGCGCAGCCGCGCCTCAGGCTGGATGGAACCGCAGGGGCCGGGGAAGGGCCGGCTTTCGGTCGGCTGGGCCTTGAATTTCAGCGGGACTGCAGTGAATTTTGGCCACATCACCCGACCCTCGCCACATCTCCTGGTGCACTCTGCAAAGTGAAACTCCTCAGTTGGCATGCAAGCCTCCCTTGGGTTGGTTTTAGCGCCCTGCTTCTTAAATTTTGTTTTGGAGCTCAGGGTGCAGTTCAGTGGTAGATCACGTGCTTAGCACATCCCGGGATCCCAGTCCAGCACAAACAAATATTAAGTCCTTGATTCTGAGGAAGCCCCCCCCCCACCTTTGAGAGGGTCTCACCATGTAGTCCACTCTGGCCTCGAACTCATGGTTACCCTCCTGCCTCAGCCTCTCCAGTGCTGGAATTATGAGCGTGCACCACCACACTTGTCAGCTTCCAGTTTCTGAACTGTCCAGGAGGCAGTGGTCTGCAGTCCCAGGGGTGGTTAGAGGAGGAGGGTTTCTTGAGCTCAGGAATTCCAGGAATTCCAGATTGATCTGAGCAATAGAGGGGTATACAGTTTAAAACAACAAAAAAGGACTGGTGGTGCTCACTAGTAATCCCAGCATTCAGAGAGGCTGAAGCAGGAGGCTCAAAAGATCCTCCCCACCCTGGCAATTTACCAAGACCCTGTCTCAGACTAAGAAAATATAAAAATCTAACAGGGCTGGGGATAAAGTTCAGTGCAAAGCTCCTGGGTATAATCTTCAGACAACCCCCCCGCAAAGGAGACCCTGAGATACAAAAAGTGTTTTAAGCAGAATAAAGAACACACGCCAAGGGGCCAGGGCTGGAGATTTAGTTTAGTGGTGCCACCACGTGCCTCAAATGCACAAGGTCCTCAGTTCCATCCTTGGTACCACCAAAAAAAAAAACAAACAAACAAAAAAAACCCAAAAAAACAAAACCAAACAAACAAAACCAAAGAACTCACACCAAATTCTGAGGGATTAAACAAGGTGAAATTTATCAACTACATAGTGAGACCCTGTCTCAAAAAAAAAAAAAAAAAAAAAAAAACACCAAAAAAACCCCCCAAACAAAACAAGGTGAAATTCAGTGAGCCTGGGCCAGGGATTTAGCTCAGTGGTGCCCCGCCTGCCTGGCAAGCCGGGCACCAAACAAATAATTCAGCGAGCCGGGGATTTAGCTCAATGGTTAGGTGACCTGCCTTGAGAGCCCAAGGACCAGAGTTCAATCTCCGGTACCAAAAAAAATTACATTTTGGGCTGGGGATTTAGCTCAGCGGTTCAGTGGCCTGCCTCACAAGCGCAAGGACAGGAGTTCGATCCCCGGTACCACCACACACAAAAAAACAAATAATTCAGCGAGAGTGAAGGCAAATATGAAAGACAGAATAATGAGGAGGAAGATGGCAACTTTTCCAAATTCAGTTTTTTATGCCCAGTCCTAACAGGCCTGACACCCATAGGCCTCACTAAATGGTGTTCTCTTGTTCTCACAAGAGTTTACAGTCCCATAAACTTTGTCAGCCTGGCAAACCCCGCCCCTCTTTCAAGCCCCTTCACAGCCTATCTCCTCAGCGAGGCCTGCACCCCATACCCAATACCCAGCCTCACAAAGGTTACACACTCACTTTAAGATTCTCCTGCCAAAACACCTATTGCCCCCTCCACCTCCCTGTTCTGAGGATGGAACCCAGAGGTGCTCTACCACAGAGCTACATCCCCAGACCTTTTTATTTTTATTTTTTTGGTACAGGGGATTGAACTCAGGTCCTTGCACTTGCAAGGCAGGCAGTGGAACCACTGAGCTAAATCCCCAGCTCAATTTTTTGGTTTTTTGAGACAAGGTCTCACTATGTAGTTGAGATTGACCTGGAACTCACTACATAGCCCAGGCTGGTCTCAAACTCATAGCGATCCTCCTGCCTCAGCCTCCCAGTGCTGGGTTTACAGGCGTGCACCACCACACCCAGCTTTTCCCAGACCTTTTTAATGTTTTTTGTTTTGACTCAAGGAATCACTAGATTGCCCAGGATGACCTTGAATTTGTGACCTTCCTGCCTCAGCTTCCTGAGATTGCTGGGATTACAGTGTACACCACTGTACCCAGCTTGTTCTTTTCATATATAATATAAAATTCATAATGTATATTATTTTTTGCAGTGCTGAGGGTCAGACCCATATCCTGGCACACACTAAGTGTACACTCTCTGCCATGGAACCACATCCCTAGCTCAGTATGTCACGTTTTATCATGATCTTACTAGACTGAGATTGTCAAGAGCAGGAACTAGAGGGGGTTGCAAGTAGGATACCTCTGTAAGTTTGTAGAGCAAGTTAATAGAGACCTTTCCCTTCTCTTGACAAGCACCTGTTACGAGCAACAGGAAGCTCCTTCCACTGGGAACTTTCACCACCCCCAGAGGAAGGCCTCCAGTGAGTCTCCTCACTGATTACCCTGAAACAAGGAGAGCACGCTTTGGTTTTGCTAGAGTTGGGTTCCAGCCATATCTGGTCCTGCCCATATTTGCTGCATCTCCCCTAACAGATTTCCCCTTGTTAGCTCATTTGGACCCAGCCCCAGACCTGCTTCCTTCTTTCCTCCCTTCCTTTTTTTTTCTTCCCTTCCCACCCTCCCTCCCTCCTTTCCTTCCAATGGGCTCTGGCTGCAAACTTGCTGTGTAGCCCAGGCTGGCTTCACACGCACGACCCTTCTGCCTCAGCCTCCCACATGCAGAGATTCCATGTGTGTACCACATCATCGCCTGGCCCTGTTTACATTCTGTATGTATATCCTTGTAAATGCCTAAGGTGCCAAGATGTTTCTGTTTCTCACTAGTGCCACCCCAGTGCCTAGAATGGTGTCAGGCACAGAGAAATCAATAAATGCTTGAGTATAGGACACAATTCAGGAAGTAACTGGCAGCCGTTGTGTGCAAATGCCCAGGCATAACCCTCTTCTCCCAGCTCTGAGGAGAGCCGCAATTCCAGTAGATGTAATCCTAACATCCAAGTCATGCCCTGGCCTCCACAAAGGGTTAGATCTGAATTCCGGCTCTGCTACCAATTTCCTGGTTGAATTTCACTCCTAAAAAATGGTATAATAGAAGAGTGAAACCACCTATGACACTTTCAGCAAATTATTTTGCCTTTCTAAGGCTGAGTTTTCTTATTTATGAAATAGAGAAAATATTAGCTGGGCGTGGTGGCGCAGGCCTGTAATCCTAGCACTCAGGAGGCTGAGGCAGGAGGATTGCTGAGTTCGAGACCAGCATGGGCTACATAGTGAATTCCAGGGTAGTCTCAACTACATAGTGAGACCCTGTCTCAAAAAAACCAAAAGAAAAAAAAAATCCCCAAAAAAGAGAGAAAATATTGATTTCCATGGGGCTGTTGTAAAGAGAAAACAGACTAAATTTTTACTGCCTGTTGTTTCTTTCCAAATCTTAGCTG